AATTGAGTCATTGAACCATCTTATTCTTTTCTCTTTGGTTTCTTCAGTTTCTGATCATTGGACCAAAGAGTGAGACTAGTTGGCTTCGTCAAGTTGCTTTTGAAGAGCAATTGAATTGGCCGCATCCTCAGCTGAAATGCCTAATATATGAAGATCAGTTTCAAGAGGAGCTGGAGCATTAAGCACAAGTTTGTCTTTTGATGAGGCTTCCATTCGATTCTTTACAAGCTTAGCTCCTTTAGCTTCAACAGCATCTTGCTCAGATGTCATGGGTGCCTTTCCTTCTCTATGAGAAGGAACATTTGTGTCCTCATAAGTAGCAGTGATAGGAATTTGAGAAGAAGTAATACCAATCTAACAAGAAATGACCTGTTGATGCTCTCCCTCAACAAATACCGTAGGCTGAGAACTCAGCTGCTCCCCCTTAGCAAATACTGCAACTCTGTCATGATCAGCCAGCTCCCCCTCAAAAAGAGCATTTACATTTGAGTCATCATCAGATGAGGAAGAAGAGATAGAAGAGGTAGATGCTGACTCGTTCCCGTTGTCACTAGTCGCATGATCAACTGTATTCTCCCCCCAGTGAGAGAAGGGAAAGGCATAGAAGCAGCAACTAGGGGTTCCTTTGCAGCGGGAATGGAAGAAGGCAGAAAAGTAGTAGCATGAGAAGAGGGGGAAAACGGAGCACCTGTGGCATGTAGTAGACGAGAAACACTGTGATAAAGATTACCCATAAGACTAGAATCAGAGTGAACAAGACGATTGACCTCAGTTAATAAATTTCTGTTCGACTCTGTGAACTGACTGGTACCTAAGTCGATAGAAACTTCAGAAGGATCCCCTTCTAAGATCATCTTGGATATCTGAGTCTGCGCATCAACCTTAGAGTGCAAATCGGCAAAAGACTGAAAAATGGTCAAATTCACATCAGCCTAAGAGTCTGAGCGTGCATAAAGATCCTCCATGTCCCATAGAATAGTGGAATGAGAGTCCAAAAGATCAGTCAGGCAAGCACTAATTGAATCAACACTGTCCCCAACTGTTGTAATAGTATGACCATAAGCATGTATATATGCATCCTATCGACTCATCTCAGTAGTAAGCTTGGATGCAATAGTATCCAATCTTCCAGATAGATCAATACGGAGAGAGTCTTGCTCAGAGAGAAGCAGCTGACGTTGAGAAGAGAAGCCTCAAAACATGTCTACTACCTCATTAGGCAGAGCATATAATACATGAGGAGGAGAAGAGGCAGTGAACTGAAAGCCCAACTGAGGAGTGGGCCTTGCAGTAGAATCATTAGCATGAGTAGGTGAGCAAGCTCTGATTGTGCTTGCTGGCCTATCCTGGGAAGAAGCTGCAACACTCTCAGTACCATCGGCACCCTGAAAGTCACCGATGAGAATATCACTGATGTCGACCTAAGGCTGGACGTCTGTATCAATAATGTCTGTGGAAGGCTCGATATCTGTATCAACAATACTGGCATGAGGCTCAATGTCTGTATCATTGACGCCTGCGAGAGACGGGTCGCTGATTACCATAGCAGTGGAGGTAGTAGGCTAGTAAGGCTCATCACCCACATCCATAAGCAAATAATGAAGAAAAGGGATGTCATCATCAACCTTAGTTGAAAGGTCATCCATCTATGCAAGATCATCGAGATCGTCAATCTCAAGTGATAGGCCGTAAGTACGTAGGGGAGATGAAGGACCTCGAAAAGGGGAGGTATCTGAGTCATCACCAAAGGCGTGTAGAGACGCCAGGGTAGAGTGATGTGGGACCCCGATTGTACAACAATGTCCTGTTGGGAGAGCACTAAGGAGCTAGGGGTGTATAACAGATGTCCTGGGCTCAGTAGAACTAGCTCCAACAACCTTGGACTGTTGAGAGTCCTTGGTTGGAGATGTGTTTTTAGCCCTTTTAGGCTTCTTGGTCTTCTTAGAGGAAGAGCCAAGAGTGGATAATCTAGAGTGTTTCCGCTTATTTGAGAGGGGTGAGAGGCAGGGTGAGACTCCGAAGGCGCTTTCGGAGTCGTAGCCTCAGAAGCAGATGCGGAGAGTGAGGGAAGAAATCTATCTGCCAGCCGTCTCCTGACTGAGAAAGTGGCCACTTTAGAGGCAATAGCTGAAGAAGAGAGAGAAAGAGTCACCGATTTGGAGGAGTGATGGGTGACCGGCGCAACATGAGGATACCGAGTACTCTCCCCAAACCGGATGGGTAGAGGTGGCAAAAGAAGCCATACCTGAGGGAAGACGAGGATCAGCAGGGAAAGATTCCTTCTTTAAAATTTGAAAGCCGACTTGAGAAACTTTAAGATCATAGAAATTATCAGCATCGGTTGGCATACGTGATCCAAGTTTATCAGCAATCAGCATGGAGAAAAATCGGATAAATGGGACTGTAGAACTTTTAGAACAACCCATCTTCTGTACTAGCTCCCTAAAGAGATAACCAACAAAGTCAATCTTTTTCTGAAATATCAATGCATGAGCAAGTTGTGTGACCCGAGTAGAAGACTGATCCATGCATCCAGTCTTGGAGCTCAAACACTGAATAACATCCGAGAAAAATAAGTTCCAAATACTGCCCATGTTCTTATGATAGAGAGTTCCTTGACTCTTGACATTACGGTCTTGCACATAGCCCATAATAGAAGCCACAATATGAATATCATCAATAAAAACAATGTCATCATAAGAAGAGTATGTCAGAAGGTCAAATACTCGTCTCATATCATCAACAGTAAATGACACATCCTTGGTAGATAAATCAGAAGCATGCTCTGCCTTGGTAGTGTCATCATAGACAGAGGTGGCTCAAAAATTGCCTAAAAGAAACTTGCTCATCTTAGGAGATGAGGTTAAAGCTTTGTTGAGAGGGTACTTACATAAGAATTCTACGATGAGGCAGAAGTCCGGATACTTCTTGTTGTGATCCAATAATGCCATGTAGTTGCATGAGGAAAAAGTAACACCATCAGTGGTGAGAGGGATTGATTTCACATTCTTTGAAGCTTTGGAAGGAGTTGCACCGTTGGAAGCAATGGTTAATTTTCAAAACACACAGTAGATGAGAGGAGATGAAGGTTTGAAGATGTGTGAAAAGAGAGAAGAGAGAAGAGAGAAGGGTGAATATATAAGGTAAAAGAAGAATGGTAGGGAAAGGATGGATGGTAAGTTTACAAAGTTGTCAACTAGAGGTAACCGAAAAGGTCAACCTAAGGTGTTATCAATGTCTTGTCAAAAGGATGGGAGACCGAAGTGGGTAGGGAGTCGAATAAGGTTTAGATAAAAGGGTCAATTAGGTTAGACACCGGGTAAATATGTGTGCATGGGAGGGAACTGGAAACCGAATGGGGAGGGGGCGAAAAAGAATTATAGTGTAAAGGCCTAAGGGGGTTTGGGTTCTTAGGTAGGGGAAGTTGGTGTGGAATTCGGGTAGGGGAGTGGGATAAGACGAAAAGAGGAGAAAGGTACGAGTAAGCCGAAAGGGGTGGGGGGTTAGGGTTCAGTGAATGGGTAAGGGAAGACTTAAGAGCGTAAAGTCAGAGGTAGGGTTGGGGGTTCGATCAAGGAGGGGAGGGGAGGGCTTCGGTTTTAGAGGTCTTAAGGTTGCTGAATCAATATGGAGATCGATGTAAGGCAAGTGTAAGGAGGAGAAATTAATGAGGGACAAACCGATCGGTGTTGGAGAGTAATATCGGTTTAAGGGTAGGTTTGGGAGGGAGAGAGATCGGCGAAGGAAGAAAGAGAGAGTTCGGTGTCCGAAGAGAGTTTGGTGTGTAAGAGTTTTCGGTTTAAGGATGAAGATATGTATTTTGGGAGTGTGGGTGAATGTGTATGTTCGATAAGGGAATTAGATGGTCTGAAGAGGAAGAGATGAGGGGAGATCGGTGAGACTGAAATAGGGGAGCCAGAGATGAGAGTTTGAGGAGGAGATTTCGGTTTAGAGAGATTTTGGTGAAGGGGAAAACCGAATAGGCGAGATCGGTGAGCAACGGCACGCACGGCACGGCGCGCCGCACATGGAGCGAGTCGAGGGAGAACGGTGCAACGGCTGTGTGGGGAGGAGTCCGAAGGGAGGGTTTCGGTGTGTATAGGGAGATGTACCAAAGGTTTGAGACCGGAAGAGAGAGAGAGAGAGGGAGAAAGATTCGAGTGAGGCAAGGTGTAGAAATCGGCGACAGAAGAAGAGGGGTCGGTGAGTGGAGGGAGGGTTTGGCTAGGGGATGGAAGAAGGTAAGCCGAGAGAGAGAAGGGTCGGGGAGACCAAATAAGAGGAAGTAGGGTTAGAGATAGTGGATCGATCAGTTAGATGATTGCGGTTTAAGTTGGCCGAAGTGGTATTGCTGTTGGGCCTAAATGAGGGGGGATTATGGAATTCGAAGTGGAGAGAGACCGAATTGGTAAGGTGATAGATGTGGTGAATTTAGGGAGTGGGAGAAGGTATGCAGTTGAGGATCAGGGAAAGACATGGCGTATGTTAAGTTTAGTGAGCAGCTGACGCACGACAAGGCACATGCACGGGGGGTTGTAATGGGCGGCCCCGTGGAGGTTAGGTGAGGCTGTGTGGAGCAGCGACCCAGAGGTATAGGAAACCAATCGATGAGATCGGTGAGGGTCTATGGGTTGAGTTTGGTGAGTAATTTGGCTTGGATAATTGGGGACAGAAACCGAACTCTGTGGGTTGATATATGTTTCGGTGAGATAATGCAAGGAGATGGGAGGGATTTTCAAAAAGCTTACAAATGGAGGGTGGATCTACAAAAGGTTTCAAGAAAGGTTGTGATTGAAATTATTGTCAAAAATCATGACAATTGACGAAATAGCAACACAATACATGACAAACAACGTGCGGATAACGTGTTATAGAATAACTGAAAAAGAACATTAATAGAATAGAGAGAAGAAATTTGTAATTCTCATTTAATCAAAAGTTCTTTTAAGAGGGATGAGATACAAGTAGATAACTACGAGAAATACTAGTAATAATTTATCTCTAATATGTTTATATCTATCTAGATCGTCATATCCTTTAAAGGATAACACACTTATCTTACAACAATATACACCTAGTGGTACGTAAAAATCTTTACCGCTTATATACTACAAAAGAAAATTACAAAATTGTCATGTTCATAGGCATTCCTGGTTTAATCTCCATACAGACTAAATCTTGCCAATGGTACTCCTCGATCAATGCAATTCCTGACCAACATTTTGGTTTCAAGCATCCACCATTCATGCATTCATTCCTTAGAGAGTCTTTTATCGAAAGCCAGGAACGAGGTTTTTGTTTTCCAGCTGATTCTTGTAGCATGATAATTCATTGGCTAATAACTATATATATATAGTTATCAGAAAGTTTAGACTTGAGATTCTTATTCCTTTTCTGGGTTTCATGTGAAAGAGAGATGTAACTAAGAGACTGAGACAAGGAGGAAAACATAGTTGACGATTTTGATCTTGAAAATTCAGCTGTTTTTCTGTTGAATCCATTTGGAGAAAGCTTGGAGGGTATTCATGTCGGCTCTGTAATGTTTTTGAGTGAACTCAAGAAAGGTAGACCATGTAAAATCTGGATATATTCTGGGGTTCTTTTCGTCCACCAGTTCGTCTGGTGGGCTCACCACCTTATCTTTCTTTGGACATAGAAAGAAAGCAAGTGATTTCCTATGAATTCTGTTGTTAACCACAGCTCTGTGTAAGCAACTTTTGTATCTTCCATTTGAAAGTGCCTGAAAGAGACAAATCAAATATTAAAACAAAAGAATTCCAAAAAACCTTGTCTTGGAGTTCAATTAATTTAAGAGAGAAAAAGGTCACCGTGAATGTGTCACCGATGTTGATGACGAAAGCATTTAATTTAGGAGCAACGGAACGCCACTCATTGTCTACAAACACTTCTAGCCCACCAACTGAATCTTGGTAAAGAATTGTTAAGGATGTCGGATCACAATGAGGGCCGGTCCCTAAGGTGAGGTTTGGTGTTTGGCATCGTGGGTAGTAGTTTAGCCTCATTATCGAATCGTTTTCATCGAAGAATTCCTTGAAGTGAGCTTGGCCCACACCCAGGCTCAACCCTAGTAACTCCATGATCCCAAGTGAGAGTCTACTCATAACATTGCAATATTCTTGGTAAACTTTCCTATAATATTCACAAGAAAGAAAACTTGATTTAGTACTTCAAAACAAGATTAAAAGACAAAATTCATTAATAATACATATACGTACCCGAGTCGAGCAAACTCTTTTCCCATTGTGTTCTCAAAGTAGTCCTTCACTATGTTGGATGAGTTCTCCTCACCTGAGAATTGAAAAGAGAGTGTTTCTTTCCACGGTAGTCTGGAGGAGAATCGTCCGGTGAAACTACTAGCATATCCACAACTCTCCCCTACTCTTCTTTGAGCTCTTTGTTTCTCCGAAAGCGGTAGCCCAAAGAACAATTCCATGTACCTATGAGCATCTTCTATGAGATCTGCATCAACTCCATGGTTGGTGACTAGAAAGAAACCATGTTTCATGCAAGCGTCACCAACGAGCCTAGAGGCTTCCTTGGCTGCATTAGGGCGTCCAGAAAGGAAGCCACTTAGGTCCACCAAAGGCACCGGTAGTTCCTTGGGTTTCTGTGCGTTGGGTTTCTCATGATCGGGCCATATAAACTGTTGGGGTATGCTGGTTTCATGCTGTAGGATGGAAGCATTGAAAATCAGTGGGTTGTGTTGGTCCTCTATCTGCGAAGGAGGCATGGATGATTGCTCTTTGATCATGCAATATGTATTAATCTTGCATAATTTTCTTTCTAGAGCCAGTAGGAGGGAGAGAGAGAGAGAAGTGTTAAGTTTGGGAGGTATGATCAAGAGAAAAGCCAAGGCCGTTTATAGGGGCAATGGGTGAACCCCACTGATTTGGAATGTAGTAGGGCACACAGCAGAAAACAGAGAAAAAAAAATGGATGTTTGCAAACAAGGGCTTCATCATATTGCAAGTGACAAACAAGGCATATGTTCCAAAAGTCTATTTGTCTTTTCGAATGTTGACAGGAAAGCTGTTCCCAATGGCAATTTGGCGTTTCTTTTGGGAGAGTAATCCCAGCTACGTACCCTTTTTAACCCTCCTTTGTTTCTATATATTCTCACTGTAACTAACATTAACTCTTCCTGTACAACAAGAGTTAGACTTGAAGCAAGTATTTCAACAATCTTAAAACTCTTCTTCTACAACAAGAGTTAAAGGGGCTGTTTACCAAACACTTACCTGTGTAAGAGGTTACTAAGTCACATTACCTTACCGAATGAATGTGGTAAGAACCAAGAATCTTACCCGCGAAGAGCGATGCAAGGAAAAGAGTCTTACCCGGTAAGTGAGAGCGATTACTCTTACCATGGTAAGCACTTACCAGGTAACTTGTTGCATATGATGTCGTTTTTGTGAACTAAAATCTTATCAGGTAAGTAAATGATAGTGTTGAATTAATTTTACCAGTAAACGATTATCGATTAAGTGTTTGATAAACGGCCTCTTAGACGAAATTTTTGAACAAAAGAATCTATTTTTCATTATTTACATTACAATTTCAAACTTATATTTTGTAAACCAAACATGAAGTTAAATGAATAGAATTGTACTCTATTCCACTTACATCCATCCATCCATGTCAAACTAATGGGTGCTCATATTCAATAAATACTTCAATTTTATTTCATTTCACATTTTAATTTTTTATAGATATATTTTATGAACCAAATATTAAGAATATCTTCAGCGGATTTTTTTATAAAATGACAAAGTAAAAAATAAAGTCTCTATAAAAAATTACTTTCATCTTCAATAGATTCTTTATTTTAAAGACTACACAATTAATTATATTATTAAAATATATAATACAATTCATAAAATATTAATTTCTCTCTCCTAAACATTTAAATTGAAGCTTCTTTCTCATAAGTAATCATTTTTAGAGAAATTTCCAAATTTAAAGAATTTCATCGCGTCTTTCAAAACTTTTGTTCATCTTAAAGAAGGTTTTGAAAAACTTGTTCGAGTAAAAATCTCTAAAATCTTTTTTTTTACAAGTTTTTTTTGAAGAAAATAATGACTTTGACTAGCATGATCTCAATTTTGTAGTTGATGGCTATTTTTGAATCCGAATAGTTTTAATGGTTCTCTCTCTTCGTATTAAGAGTTAGGAGCCGTTTACAAAATGCTTACTTGGGTAAGTGAACACTAAGTCACATTACCTTACCGGATGAATGAATATGGTAATGACCATTATATAATCTTACCCGGTAAGAACGAGGCAAGGACCAAGAGTCTTACCCGGTAAGTAAGAGCGGCGATTCTTATCACGGTAAACGTTTATCGGGTAAATTGTTACATACGATATCGTTTTGGTGGACTAAAATCTTACCCGATAAGTAAATGATAGTGTTAAACTTTACCGGCAAACACTTATCGGGTAAGTGTTTGATAAACGGCCCCTTACATGGTTATTATTTATAGTAAGATTTGTCTTGTTTATATATATATATATATATATGTATATATATATATATATATATATATTTATATATATAGAAGGTCTTAACTAAATGAAAATTTTAAAATTTTGTAACATCCATAAGATTTAATATGAGCCACTAATTTAAGATAATTATATTATTTATTAAATAAATATAAAAGATAATTTAATCATCTCATAATTGCATTTAATCAACTTATTCTCTCCACAAATAGAAAATATATAGCTTTCATAAATAAAAAATTCCATTACTTTTGAAATAAGACAATAATTAATGTTCACAATATGTATATAAATCCTTAAACAATGTTTTCACTGATCTTTGTTTTTTTTTCTTTTTTGTTTTTGGTGGTGTTTTGTCACTTTGTATTCACAAGGTGATTATAATATGTAAAGAAATAGGTGATCACGTCGTGTAAAAAATAGGTGATCATAATATTTGATTGAAACAATATATTTGATAATGATTCACATCTTGATATTGTAGATTTTTTGCTTTGGATTCGCCAGAGATGCTTGACGTTATTGATTTTGTTTACAATGTGTATCAATTTCAATCACAAATCAAATAATAATTTAGGTAATTTTAACTTAAAATTTTAATTAAAGAACACTTTACGTATTTTAAAAATCTCATCTCTCCTCTCCAGGGAACATGATTTCGGCGAACACCAAGTAAACACAAGATACAAAATGTGATACTTAAAAACACCAAAACTTTTAAACAAAGATACATTCAAATGATCCTCAGTGTGATACCCAACATACATAGAAGATGCATAATGATGCCCATTGTACCTACTGTGATACCCGTTGTACCCACAGTGATACCCATAAATCAACACTGTCTAAATCCTAATCGATAGATCATGGAATATAAATGCAGCCGAAGAAACCGAGAGCAACAAACGGTGAAAATTTCTTCACGGGCGTCTAGATCTACTTCGAATATTTCGTCGGAGATCCCTCTCATTGAAAGAACGTGCTTTTCTTGTCCGACTTCTGATTAGCTTTGTTCGTTGAAAGTTCATCATTGGTGTCGATTTGATCAACGCTGAATGCGTGTAATGATGGTTGAATCACCAACATATCCAGGGTTGTTGATCCTCTCTCTCAGTGATTTGATGATAATCCCTTTTTCCTTTCGATGTATTTTTGTGTTTCTGTACTTTCAGTTCCAGCGATCAATACACTGAG